CGGAACGGGGGGGGAAACGCCCCAGAAAGAGGTACAGGGCATCGGGAGTGTCCGAAGAGTGGTCTAAACACAAGGCAGGGTCAGAATGGGGTGCGGTATCAAGAAGGGCCCGGGGGTAGTGGTTTCATGGACTAGGGCTGCCATGGTTAGGTTACTCCTTTGCTTTTTGTTTTTAAGAAAAAAAAAGAAAGAAGAAAAGAAAATAAAAATAAAAAAAAAAGAATAAAAAAAGGGGGAGCGGGGAGGAATAGTTCCCAGGAGGAATGAAAGGGCCGGAAATCTCCCTCCGCGCCCAAGAGGACCTCAACACCGCTAGTAGCGCAGATGCAGCATGGAACCCGTGCCATACCCTACCCTTCATGCCAGTAAACCAGCAATCCGGGATAGCAACCTCACATCTGCCGAGCTACCTCGGTGGACAAAAGAGAGGGCGGCCGGATATCTGCCACAAAGCATACCTCCTTCGGCCACCACCCCCGGAATCCGAAAGGTGGCTTCCAGAGATACACCTGTCGCCCAAAAGACACCCAAAGCTACTCCGGGATACCAGAGAGGGATTGGGACATCCCCAGGCAATCCAGATTCCACGGCAAACTACGCCACCGCCAAGAACCTCAACGGAATGGGATGGACCCCGGTGTCCTTTCCCCTACCTAGGAACTAGCGCGCCTGTGGGAGAAAGAATCCCGAAGGCCAAAAAGAGGAAGGGCAAAAGGGAGGGGTGAGGAGGAGGAGGAGGAATGGAAAAAGGGGAGGATGGGAAGGATGGGATAGGGGAGGGGAGAATGGGGGGTAATTAGGTTCGGTCTGAGGAAGAAGACCGACAGGACTAATTCCTCAGACCAAGAGCCTCTTCACCACGCCAAGGAGCCCCCCTTGAAGAGGATTATTATTCCCAAAAATACTGAGCTCAGTTCAGTTACATGCATAAATTCTTAATCCTGATAATGAGTAAATCCACACCTTTAGTCCCTTCACCACTTAAGACACAGAATCTCATGTCCAAAATGCTTAACTTGAGCATTCTTTTTCGACTCAAACTCCTACTTCATATGTGGCTGAATAATTTTAATATAGCATTTGAGTATATGGCAATAATCAAATTTACACCCACATCTACCATATGTCTCCCCCCCCATCTATCCTATGTCATGAACTCACTTTACCTCTTTTACCCCATCATCTCAATTGCCTCCAAAAAGCCCAACATTAAACTTTCCTTATTCTTCTTCTTCTTTCAACGTACCAGCTGTATCCCACCAAGGTGGGGTGGCCCAAAAGGAAAAACCAAAGTTTCTCCTTTCAAATTTAGTAATATATACAGGAGAAGGGGTTACTAGCCCGTTGCTCCCGGCATTTCAGTCGCCTCTTACGACATGCATGGCTTACAGAGGAAGATTTCTGTTCCACTTCCCCATGGAGATAAGAGGAAAATAAACAAGAACAAGAAATACAAAGAAAATAGCAGAAAACCCAGAGAGGTGTGTATATATATGCTTGTACATGTATGTGTAGTGTGACCTAAGTAAGTAGAAGTAGCAAGACGCATCTGAAAATCTTGCATTTTTATGAGAGAAAAAAGGACACCAGCAATCCTACTATCATGTAAAACAATTACAGGACTTTCCTTATTACATGGTAATAATGGAAATTTGATGTTTTTTTCTGAGCTGAGTACTTTTATTACAAGGGTCATGTCATCAAGTAGTGAAAGAATAAAAGGGTAGTAAAGGGAGCATTAAGTTGGTACCAGGGGAGCCTTAGTGATATTGCTGGTTCAAAAGACACACTGCTTCCATAACTTCTCTCCACATATACAGTACAGTATATTTTTTCTAATTTCATTTAATTTTTATGTACATTATAAATTCAGACCAATGTGAAAATTAACCCGTAAACGGTTCAAACAGATCTACGTTCACATGCATAGTACTCCAAAAGTAGATCTACTTTTTTTTACATATTTTCAAACATAAAAAAAAAAAGTAGATCGAAGTTTTTTACACGTTTTCAAATGTACAAAAAAAAAAAAAGATCTACTTTTTTTACATATTTTCAAATGTTGAAAAAACGTATATATACATTTGGACCGTTTACGGGTTAAATAAGGTGGAGAAGAAAAACTTTCCAGTAAGTCATGCGTGAGTTTCCATTGATCAACTGTAACTAAGTAACTTCCTGTATCTTCACCATCAATCACTCCACACAACTGAAGATCATAGAATCAGTTTGCAATAATGAATGGTACTTCTGAAATTATACCATTAGTATATTAACTACCTTTTTTGTTAAATTAGACACATGTGCAACTCTTGGGTATCTTTATTGAGGAAACGTTTTGCCACACAGTGGCTTCATCAGTCCATACAAAGGATAAACTTGAAGAACAGAGGAAGAATCAGTCCCTCAACCTTGAGTCGATGTGGTCAGTCTTGAGTAGAATACAGCATATGAGCGGAGAAAGCAGCTTATAAGCCATATGGCAGGAGAGGTGCAGCAGTCGTAGGTGGTGTCACATTTGTCCAATGTGGAAGTAGGTCGGCCCAAGGTTAGGCAAGCGAAGAATTCCCAAGTATTAAGATCCCAAGAAGTTGCAGTGTCTGACAGGATTGTAGATGAATGGTTCAAAGAACCGACACTTTTAAATTGGGACACATGTGCAACTCTTGGGAAATCTTTATTGGGGAAAACGTTTCACCACACAGTAGCTTTCATCAGTCCGCTCATATGCCGTATTCTATCAAGACTGATGGACTGACCACGCGACTCAAGGTTGAGGGACTGATTACCTCATTCTCCTCCTATTCTTCAATTTATCCTTTGTATGGACTGATGAAGCCACTGTGTGGCGAAACGTTTCCTCAATAAAGATACCCAAGAGTTCCCACATGTGTCAAATTTAACAACGTGTGGGTTTCTTTGAACCATTCATCTACAACTACCTTTTTTATTGTGCTTTATAATTGTAATTAACTGAAATAAGAAATCCTACTTAATAGTCTGTGTCTAAATCTTAAGTAATCTTTAAGCATTAGGATTAGTCTGCCCAAAATGCATTGTGCACTAATGGCTTTGTTTTGTGCTTAACAATGTTTTACTGCATGCAAACTGCAAACATTATCTTTTTGTTCAGCATAAAAGAAATAAAAAAACTGAATTTGAACACAATTCATAATACCCTTAGCTTTTGGAAGTACCAAAAGCTTGGATGTTTTTTAAATTTGCTTTTTTTTTATCAAAATCAAATTAAATTTTTTTTTTCTTTGTATTGTATATAATTGTTTGTTTTATGTAATAAAATATTGTTAAGCACAAAGCAATCCATGGCATGCAATAGCATTTCAGGGAGACTTACAATTAGACAGATATGGAGTAGTGAATTTTAATTATGTATTATTACAAAAAACATTATAAGTAATAAAATTTATAGTAGAGAGGTAGGAAAAAAAATATTAAAGATTAGCACAATTTACAAAGTACAATTTTAAGTATGCATTAATACTTTAATGTAGGTAGTAGGTTGGTAGACAGTAACCACCCAAGGAGGCACTACCATCCTGCCAATTGAGTGCCAAACAGGAACCTGTAATTGTTTTACATGATGGTAGGATTGCAGGTGTCCTTTTTCGGTCTCATAAACATGCAAGATTTCAGGTACGTCTTGCTACTTCTACTTACACTTACACATAGGTCACATTACACATATATGTACAAATGTACAAGCATATATATACAAAGCCCTTTGGGTTTTCTTCT